AATAAACTAAGAGGTAAAAAAATAACGGTAACCTGGTTGCCGAGTTCACGAAGTGACTTGGCTTGTTTTACAACGTCGNGCGCGGAGTGAGGGTTCTCGACCCCGCACAACATGATCTACTCGACCACCATCATCGTTACCGCCAAAAAATAAGAGGTAAAAAAATAACGGTAACCTGGTTGCCGAGTTCACGAAGTGACTTGGCTTGTTTTACACCGTCGTTACCAAGTGACGAAAACACAACCCCGATGGCAAACACCCGGGGGGGGGTTCTAGAGCATGGGGGGGGACGTTCAAATCGAAAGACAGCGTCTGTTTGACAATGTTTTGGGTTGCAGTCTTTTTCTTTTCTTTTTTCTTTTGTCTTCACTTCAAATCAGCGCTCACGGCACTAGTGCCGTTTACTCCAACCCGTGGTCACACAGAAGAGCCCCTCTCTACCCTCCCCTCCTGCGGTACGTTGCCTTCGATTTTTAATGCGAGAAGAGTTCAGCACTCTCTTCCCTCTGTGTACACACGAACTATTAGCGCTATCCACTAGGCCAGGAGCGGAAGCGAGAGAAAGAACCTCACTTTGCAAGAAAAGCTCGCTTACGCCGGGATTCGAACCCCTGACCTGACCTCTAGAAGGTTTCGAGGTTTCCAACTAGACCACCGGGGCGACCGGCGCAACGTCTAGACTAGATCGAATAATCAAGTTGTGTCCAATCTCAAAACTCTGCATGTGTTTGGCGTTGGAGAACGCCCGGTGAACCAGCTTAGTTCACGTTCGACCCGTTTCTTCATTGGGGAAACGCGCGTGGAGAACGGCGGCGACGTCAACGTACCCACAACACCGGCAGTCTGGTCTAATTTCGGGCTGCTGCATGCAGCTACATCCAGGCATGCAGCTACATCCAGGCATGCAGCTACATACAAGTCACAAGAAACCCTCTGTAATCGTTTCCGGTTGCCTGCTGCTGTTGTCAAGACATGCGACGCCACTCGAACATTACATCGGAAGGCTATGGTACTTTCGAGCAGTCTTGGCATATGGACCGGTTGAAGCACACTGAAGTTGAACGGCCCCTGAACATCCTATGGTCATTTTTGTGTGTTTGCGATCCCCAGATATCCACCTGTATCTCGCCATGTACGTTCATTTCTTTCGCATCCAGAAAAAATGGAGCCGATCGGAAGCATCAACAGACGGGGGCAGGCCGGCGGGGTAGAACAATTCCTGCCAAGCTTTCGCTCTAGAAAATGCCACGTTTGTGGGACTAGCGGAGGATCGGCCATCCGTTGCCACAGCGCTTCGTGTAAGTTCCATCTCCATCCCATGTGCGGGAGCAAGGCCGGGAGCGTCTACATGGAAATTGAGACCACGATGAAAAGAGGTGTCGACGGCACAGAACATGAGAGCGTGAACCTCGTAGCAAAGTGTCCCAGGTGAGAACGCTCACGGCCAAATTATGTTGTTGCGTCTGTCACCGCGGTTTTCTACGCGTCGAGTAGTCTGTAGGAGTAGTAAGATTTATGAATTTATTTGGGGATTGTGATACGGTCTTGGGGGAGCACATCGGGTTCGCTCGAGCTTGTTCCATCATCCGATAGCCACAGCCGACATCCCCAAGGGTAACTTCCTGTTACGCTCAGAAATGATATTGTTCCTGCGGCCTCCAACGCAAGCTTGTATGTGGCCAACTTCCTTATTTTTTCACTGCGCTATGGTACTCGTTAGCCCGCTGCAAATGCCCTGCGGCCTCCAACGCAAGCTTGTATGTGGCCAACTTTCTTATTTTTTCACTGCGCTATGGTACTCGTTAGCCCGCTGCAAATGCCCTGCGGCCTCCAACGCAAGCTTGTATGTGGCCAACTTTCTTATTTTTTCACTGCGCTATGGTACTCGTTAGCCCGCTGCAAATGCCCTGCGGCCTCCAACGCAAGCTTGTATGTGGCCAACTTTCTTATTTTTTCACTGCGCTATGGTACTCGTTAGCCCGCTGCAAATGCCCTCGCTTGTCCCTTGATGAGAAGTATCTCACATCGCTAATTTGTGTGCTGTTCGTCTGATAGGCACAACAAGAGCAAGGTTTACGGCAGAGCTGGCAAGGGCCGTTCTGCGGTCGCCTCGGCTGCCGACCCCTTGTCGGTGATGGGTAAGACAATCGAGATCACAGACCCGGAGCGGGATGGGGCTGTCGCGCTGGTGGGGAAAGTGACGTGGTTCGACCCCAATCGGTCGAGATACTGCATCGTCACGTCTCGTCGAGTCGGTGGTGACGGCGATAGCTGCGACAGTGGAGAACCGAAGGAAGGCCGTACACACTGGATTGCGGCGAAGAAGCTAGTCGAAGCCAAGGCCGTGGGCCTCCACAAAAACGGGAAAAATTTCGCGCTAGAACCGCTGCCTTCGTGGGAAAAACATAGAACGGAGACGGATAAGGAGAGTGGGTGCCAAGGCAGTGATGTAAAAGTGGAACAGGAGGAACATGAGAAAGTAGCACAAGACAGCAGCGGGCTGACGGCGGAGGAGCGAGGCGAGAATAAGGAGGCCAACAGCAAGGATGCTGTAGGCTTGGAGGAGACGAAAACAGAAATGGAACATGGGGGAAGAACCACGGTCGGCAAGCGCCGAAGGCCGGACCTAACAGATCCATCGATGCCATCAGATGAGTCTCCGGCCAAACGCACGGCTCGCGTCAGATTACAGTCGCGACAAGCACAGGCGTCCCAAGGGCTAGACTCGCACAACCTGCAGCCCGAAGCAGAATCCTCGCTCTCGCCGCGCTTACAAGGTGAAGGGTCGCAGTCTTCCGCGGTGTTGGGGTTTGGACCAACGTCCGAAATCGGGGACGCAGGGTCTTGTGCCGAAATGGAGGGAAGGAGCATGGCTGCACGCCATCCAATTCAGGAGCCAAGTCGGCTGTTACCCTCTGTCCATCTTGCAGAACAACCCGACCCGTTTTCCAGGTACCCGATACGAGGCAGACTGAGGCGCCCAACAACCCCTGTCCCCGACCCCAAAGAGCCACAAGCGCTCGAGGACGTTCCCCGGACCAAGAGGCAACGGCGAGGGGAGGATCCAGAGCACAGAGTTGCCGTTGCAGCGGACGCCGGTTCAGGTCCTTCGTCCAGCATAGGGCCCGGAGATGCCGTTGTCGCCGGCGCTTGCGATGAACCAACCCCGGGAAATAGCGACGGTGCGCAATCCCGCTTAATTCCGCAAGCACGACCCTCCATGGAAGTACGGACAGTGAGTGCAGCGGAAGCCGAGCAGCGTGAAGGTCGCTCAGTTTATGTCCTTGAGCCCGGCTGGCCCCACGGAATGCAGTTGCTCGCGCACGTTCCTGTAATGCGCGTTCGGACCGTTCTTGTGCCTGGTGGCGGGGAGGCCACGTATTATGCCAGCGCCTATGCCAGCGCAGAGAGTGTCATCGGTAACATGCGATCTGCACCTCGGTCCACGTTCCAGTTTGAAGAGTTAGGAGAACTGGGTTTGACCGATCGCGTCAAAGAGAGACCGGCGCAACGGGGAACTATGGCCGAAGTCCTTGACGAGCACCCGGAACGATCTTGTGAGCCTGACGGAACAAGCAAGGGACGGGAATGTGACAGCAGCGCACAGGGTGATTCGGGCAACTTCTCCCCCTCGCGGGTAGCAAGGCTGGGTGAATTGCATAAACAACAAGCGACGGAACGCGAAGAGCCACCGGTAGACAAGGCAAGCAGTGTGCCAGCCGATAATGACGAGGAGGAGGAAGAGGAGGACGGAGAAATCACTTCCCTGTTCGATGTACGAGCAGGCGCCATGCCCCTTTGCCCAAGCAGTGGCAAAACCATCGATGATGACGGTGTGGAAATGACACCGGGTATAGGCGGCCTTGTGGCGGAGGAGGAATCGGGGAGTAAACGATTGCTCGCTCATGATGTGCACCACAGCAGCCAATCGAACACGACTGATAACAGCAATAACGCTACCAAAGCAACAGACGTGGAAGAGATGGAAGTTTCGAGCGATGGTGGATCGTACTGCGGCTTTGAAATAGCGGAGGCTGCGTCGCCATGTATCTCCGACGACGAAGACGACGCACGTTGGGGAAGGTCTGATTATCGTGGAGATGCTAACGGGACCACGAGTGCGATTCCTGCGTCGTCTTCGAGCCAAGTGGGCACTGCTGCCAACCTGCAGGAAAGGCTGTCAGAACTGGCTGATTGTGTGGAGGATTCGAAATCTGCTGCCGATGCTGTCTCAAAAGACACAAACCCTGCTGACGATCCGTCTATTGGTTCCGCGGCAACGGTCGAGCAGGCGCTGCCTGACACGTGTGAAGACGGTAATACGTCGAGGCATCGACAAGAGGGGTCTACGGTGGAAAGGGACCCGGAGATAACTCTAAAGCCACCGCCCGCGCCGCAGCAGACAGGCGTGACCTTGGCCCTCCGTGCCATCGTTCGAGAGCAGCTCCAGGGCGTCCTGCGATCGGCCAGCAAGGGTGAGGAGGCGGCGCTTGCGAACGGAAACGGAGATGAGGTGATTGAAAAAATTGCGACGGGTGCCGAGGAGGAGTTGTTCGGCCGCCTCTACAAGGACAGCACGGGTGGGCGGGAGTATAAGGTATGCAAGATTGTTGTTGCGCTTTGATTTATGTTTGTAGGTATACCCGTGCCATCGAGAGCTAGGGGGCAGCCCATGTTTTGTGCTGTACTCACTGAACGAGGTAAGGCAGAGAGTGGATCGTACGCGGGTCAGCAAGGTTCTCGAAAACTGTGCTATTGCATAGGGTTGTGCCTACGGAGCTCTTGGCAAGAAGGCTGGACCGAGCCCATGGTGTAGATGCTCGTCTCGCCGTTTCTGCACCGACAGCTCATACCACACACTACATTGGATCTGTTTCGCATGGAAGTTTGTGCGCGACCCAGTCTACCCTTGCCCTCGTTAAAGTTTGCGGTGGATCCATGATGCGAAAGCTGCTCACAGTTGTATCTGTCGGGTGATTTTAATTATTGTTCGCTGCTGGGCTCCAGGCCAAATACAAGCAGTTGCTGCTCTCGCTGGGGAACGTCCGGAATGACCGCCTGGTTGCATCCGTGCTCGCTGGCAATACAACTCCGGTTGATTTGGCCACAAAGGTACGTCTGATCATCAGCATCCAAACCACTCACTTTCAAACTTATCGCGTACAGAGCAGTCAAGTGCCTGCGTTCGGCGCTATTTCAGAAGCATGATTTTCGCATCAAGCAGCCAGAATCGCACTGTTGATTCAACCTGTGAAGAATGTCCACGCCATTACACCATCTAGGCAGAACATGTCCAGAACTTCGATATGAAGATTTTTCGAGTGATTTTCGTACGCGGTAGGTCCAACGAATGCCCACCTGAAGCCGCGAAAGTACCCCTTGCCGATGAATGCTCTCGGCACTGCATTGCTTGACTTCCGCTGCCTTGCCAAAAAAAATTTCATGTTTCATCATATGTTGCTCTTAACCTATTTTGCCTTGATGAACTCATTGTCGGCCTCCTTTCGTTTCTTTCGGACGGCAATCACGCAGGATGCGGTGGGTCTTCTGAATTCACTCAGCTCCAGCCTCAACTGTCTTGCGATCCCCCTGGCCGGTCGGCACCGGCAAAACTTCCAACCTAGCTCTCCGGCCGGGAATGGCCGCAAAGGGAGCGGTAAACGCCGCGGCAAGATGATGTTGCTATGAAGTCGTTTTGATATTCCAACGCGCGATGAGTTTCGTAGCCGTCGCCTGTGTGGGCGTATAGCAGGAAGTGGAGAAGAGCCTGCGAGAAATTTGAGTCGTCACACAGGTGGCCAGTGGGCACCGTTGTACGGGGGCGTTGAGGAACCTCCGGCCAACGAGTGGTTGTTACATGGGATAACGTGGGGGGGTTACGGGCCGAGCCGGCATAACGTGCCCGGGGTTTTGAAAGCGGTCATCATGCGAGCGTGTGAAGGGGGGGGGNCAATCGTTCCTTTCTACTCTGCCAAAGGTGGCTCAAAAATGTCTTCCCTAGTCTGTCTATCCCAACGATATCTCTTCCCGCCTTTTCAACCCACCTCCTACGCCCCAGTACAGCTACCGTCCTGTCCTCTCTATTCCATGCCCCAAACATCTCCCTGTACGTCCTATCTGTTTTTCCCAGCTCAATCACGTACACTTTCCTCTCCTCCTTGTACCACGGACATTTCGCGACTGCATGAACACGGCAATCACATTTGAACTCGTCAACTTGGTCGTCTACCGTTATATGTCCACGTTCTCGAAGGCCTATATTCCCGGTCCTGAATTTGACCTTAAGCTTTGTCCCTGCATCCATTGGTCCATGTAGGTAGTCCTTGAACCCTATTCCTTCCTTCAACATTCCGTACAGTTCTAGACCCTCCTTATCCTTGGATTCTTTCCTCAGATTATGTTCTTCTCTCCCGGCACAAGCAACAGATATCTTTTCCTTGAACCCCTGTAGACCCTCCGTTTCCAGCGTTTCATCTTGGACGATGTGGAGCCCCTTCCATTCGTCCTCTACAACCTTGACCCATTCCGTGGGTTGTCTACCCCTCTTTTTGTTTGCCCACTTCGCCTCCCATTCATTTCTCGGCAACCTCTCCTCTCTCATCCCGCACATGCGATACTGGGCAGGGAGGAAAATAAAAAAGGGTCGAGGAAACAGAAAAAACATGAGTGAGGGAGATGTCTTTCCGCCTTTAGGTCGCAGTACGCACACTTTCGCCCATCCGGGTTTGCTACCACGGAATGTTGTCATGGAAGAAAATGCAGCTAAGAAAAGACTCGAAGCGGCGACTCTAAAAACACAAAGTGTATATACACTACCGCTACGCTGTTGTGACATGGGATGAACGAAATGTGCGTAAATTTCATGAATGTATTGTGGGGAGCTGAAAAAATTGTGGCAACACCGCCCACGCGGCGGAAAAGCGCACATTTTGCCGTCCTCCCCACCCAACCCCCCCCCCTTGGTGTTGGCCATCGGGATTGGGTTTTCGTCGCTTGGCAACGACGGTGTAAAACAAGCCAAGTCACTTCGTGAACTCGGCAACCAGGTCACCGTTTTTCTTTTCACCTCTGTTTTTTTTTTGCGGTAACCATAATGGTGGTCGAGTAGATCATGTTGTGCGGGGTCGAGAACCCTCACTCCGCGCAAGGGGGATGATCGCACCACGTTGTGTTAAAATGGTCAAGCACCCTCGAGGCAGTTACACAGTGCTTACAACTGTCTCTGGAAGTGAAAGCACCAGAAAATAAATTAATTCATACGCAGNAGCGAGAACAATGGTCTAACGACTACGGCATGCACGACTATGAGTACCCCCCCCCCCNTCGCCTCCATTGCCAATCGTTTGATGGTAATTTTTTGGTCAGTTTAGTGTTATGTTCCACAACAACAACATATAATGCTAAGCGCGCAAATCTTTTCATCTATACAACGTAGATCTATATCATTGACATATTTGACCGCTACATGAAGTATTTTTTAAGGAGACAGACGTATGTACGTGTCGTCGTATTGACTTTTAAGCATTGTATAGTAATGATTGCCTCTCTTTTTCGCAGTCTTTGCTTTTGCCCCCGATCGTTGCCGTTCGTATTTCGACACAACTACAATATCAAATAGGTTCATGTCTATGTTGGTTTTGGTACTACATCATGATGAGAAGATAGATACAGATTGCACTCGCAGCTTAGAATTGAGCAGTCAAAAATTAAATGCGGCCTCGAAAAAAATCAAAATCAAAGAAATTGGCCACAAGAACACGTGCGTGCTCAGTCCCGACGTGGTGATAAGAACAAGAACCCGAGTTTGTGGTGTAACAATGTGCTTGACGATAAGAACAGAGTCCCAAAACGCGGCAGCTTCATGAGGGTAAGAACTCACGAATGGGTGAGGGGCTACTCGCGGGGTGACCGGTGGGCAGTTGCAGATCAGCGGCGAGGAGGGGGTTCTTGTCAAATAGTGCTGGTGCGGAGGGGAGGGGGGCGTGCACGGTGTAGTCTAGTCAACTGAATATTGTATAGGTATTTTTTTAGTGTTTGTCTATTTACGCCACCGGTGGCGCAATTTCTTATATGCGCCACCGCTCTTATCTCCGCCCACAGAGCTTCAATTGGCACAAACTGACTTGTGTTGTGTAGCTATGACCCACAGCAATCATGCAAGCCATCGGGAACGTGCATCCGACCAGTAGGTGCCGAGATATGCCCTCCCACGGGGGTACTTAAGCTTATATGCGCCACCGCCTTACGGTGGCACTGTACCCCCGTGGGAGGGCATATCTCGGCATCTACTGGTCGGATGGACGTCCCAGATGGCTTGAACGATGGCTATGGACGTCCGTCGACCAGCGCAATTTGTTTGACGTCGATTGGAGCTTTGGCCACGGAGTTACGGTGGAATATGTGGTTGGTGCCCGCCTTTTGATGCCGCTGAGCCCCCTTTTTCGAGCATAACTTTCCAACGACCGAATGGATTTTGCTTCAAGTTGGCTTGTATGATTGCTATGGGTCATAGCTACACCACAATTTTTAGTTTGTGCCAATTGAAGCTCTGTGGGCGGAGATAATAGCGGTGGCGCATATAAGAAATTGCGCCACCGGTGGCGTAAATAGACAAACAAACCCATTTTTTTATTGCCGCTCAAAAATGTCCAACATATTGGTGTGTGTACTCTGTGGACACCGGCTGGTACATAGTTTTCGCGGCAAGGCATGGACATTCTTGGGCTTAGACAACCTCGCCTGCAACCAAGCACAGATACACATGTTCCTTAACTGGGTTTGGGCCGGCGTTTCCAAACCCTGCCTGACCTTGGAGGTTGGCAACGGTGCGCCCGACGCGGGTACGCAGGTTCCACAACGCCTATTATAGGGGTTACAGTTCACGTTAATCCCCCCGTAACCACCCAACTACCCAGAGAGTCGGAACTACACGAGTCCTACAACACAATCTCCCAGTGGTAGGTACGAACATACAACCGTATAGATCCGTGACCCTACGAACGAGGTGTGAAAATCCTTATAACGAAAAGACCCTCCGTCTGCTGTGACCAGCCGGAGGGCGTAAGGGTGCCCCTGAAGCTCACCACTCTCACCTGCCAACCTAGCAAGGCCGACAAACGTCAGCCACGCTTGGCAATTCTCGCCACATTGCAACAAGAGCGAAGTTACCTCCGCTCGCGAACGGTTATTCACCACTTCAGGGACCTTTACTCGTAACAGAGCAAGGGTATTCTCATATCCTCGATACTGATAAATCCCATACAAGGGCATTTTCCGTATTCCCCACTTGCCAATTGGGGCTTCAGCCGACACAATCTCGAAAAAAGCAAAAAAACAATCTAAAGACTATCGGAAAACATGATCATCTTTCTTAGCTGTGGAGAGGGGCATGAGATCATCGATGATGGCGGCGACAGGAATCGAACCCGACGACCACATCTGGTCAACATGTGCATGTCAGTGTCACAACGATCTTCCGCATGACAACGCGGGGGGCTCCCTGCTGTAGGTTTACATTGATGCACGAGGAGCTCTGGTCTTGCGGGTGGTGCTGGACGTGCATCGTGCTTGACAACACAGCAAAATGCCTCCAAACAATACCCGTGCCACAGGCGTTGTTTTCCGTGCTCGGTTCAAAGGTCCACACAAAAAAGCCCGAGCGTGTGCCGACCGAGATTACGTACTACACACCAAGCAACTCGAAGTCCAGATACCGCTGGAAAAGGCAGAAGCACTTCCCCGCATCCTTCTGTGCACCCTGGCGTAGCCACGACCTCGCAATTAATGCGGGACGAGCCTCCTCTCCTCGCACAGAAGACACCCGCACGATAAGGGGACGGTTCGTACAGCGACCCAACCATCCCATTCCGTCAACTAACTGCAAAGCCTTCGAACATACTACGAGTTATGCAAGGCATCAACAAGGAGAAGAGTGAAATTTCATCGACGAATGGACTAACACGGCAAGATGATTAGACTCAAGGCTTCTGCAGATCATGTCTTCATTAGCTGACACGGCAATCGGACAAACGAGATACATACACGTACGCTTGCTAACGACTTGCCCAGAATGCACTCCACGAGCTCAGGGCATACACGGCCGCGGTCTCAGCTCGCAGCACCGTCCGTCCCAGGGATACAAAACGCACGAACGGATATTGGGCCAACGCGCCAATCTCGTCGGGATCAAAACCTCCCTCCGGTCCGATGAGGAAGGCCGCGTTTGCGTTTCTACTGCCATCGCTAGAGTTTACGTGGTCCTGCCTACGTTCCTCCGAAAAGGCCTGCTCGTACTCGGCAAGCGCCTCCAGGAGCGGTGGCGCATCCACGTCTCTCTCTTTACACACGAAGACAATATCTGGCAAACTTAGGTCGCCGCCTCGGTCTCTCGCTAATCCAATGATACTTGATAGGTCACAGCTACTTTGACGAAGCTCAAGACTTCGGAGATAAGAAGCGAGAGTCACCGGGCTTGCCACGGGAGGCACTGTCATGCGCTCGCATTGTTCGGCAGCCTCAACCGCTGTGACCGCCCCGAGTCTGTCGAGCATGCTCGCATCCGAAACTGCGCCCTTCTGTGTGCGAGCGGTCAACACAGGTGTAAGCCGTGAAGCACCAACCTCGACCGCCTTTTCGACCAGCATCTTAAGGCGTTGCTTTCGAATGGGCGCGAAAACGAGCTCTATTTCTGGCGCATCAACGTCCTCCACCTCACCGTCACCGCCGCCGCCAATTCCCGGCTGCCTTCGCGTGAGGCACTCAACCCGCAATTCTACAACTTTGTCTGCCCCGACTGTCGACCGTTTCCCTCTACCCCTCCTACCACCGCGTCCGCTGCCGATCTTCTCGCCAGATCGCTCAAGACGGCTGCTGCTGCTGGTGCTGCTGCTCGTAGCGACGGCCGCCAAGAACTCGCCATTAACGCCGTCGAACACGCGCACCGGGCTACCATCTCGTAACCGCATGACGCTTACGAGGTATCGCGTTTGCTCCGGTGTCAGCTGGACAGTCTGTCCCACGTGAAGGTTGGCACCGTTGAGATACACGCGGGGGGCGCGCGTCGGAGGCGAGGGCAATGGGACCAGAGCGGGGTTGACACCGGCTATTCTTGCTGGGACACCGAGAGGCGGCAAAGGGCGTCCATCTTCTATTTCTCGCACCCCAACACCCTCTGTTCGCCTTCTCGTTGGCACGCCCGCTTGCGGTGAGGTAGATGATGATGACGATGATGATGACGGTTCTCCTACGGTATTCGCTGGATCTGCCGCACGGTTCTCTGCTGCGCTTCTCAATGTCTTTTCATACAGCGGAGAAGTGGTGCGTTCGAAGATTCAAAGAGGGAAGGGCGGTATCGCACATGAAAACATGTTGACAATAACCTTCAAGAGAGGAAAACGTCACCTTGTGACGGTCCCATGGCATTATTGACCCAAACAGTTTTTTGCCAAAAACGCCATGACCATACCTATTGCTCCACCGGGGCTATGAAAGCAGCAAAGCACGTCACCATGTTCAAGAGTGGAGAAATTTGGGTCGGGTTGCTTTCAACCCCAAAAGTCAGACGTAAACGATGCAGGCTTACGTAGATATGTATCACCCACCAGAATAGCGTAAAAAGACATCACCAGACTGCAGCTGCAGGGGGTGCACCCAATAGTGACAATGGGGTTGGATCGAGGCAACACGATTTCGATGTCAAGTTTTCCTGCTTATGAGTCTACCAAAACAAGTTTAATGTTTAGAGTTCAACTGCATGACATGAATTGTGCCATTAATACTGCGGACAGGCCACAGGGCGATTGTGGTTTGGAACACTCGCAATTACAGTAGTCTATGTCTGCCGTCCCAAGCCGTCCGTTTGTATGCAACGATGCTCGATCCTCACAAAAACGCAATGCATGTTTGTTTTGAAAAGGTCCTGGCAGTTAAGTGTCAGCTCAGTGAAGAGAACGAAGGAATGTTTACTCAATACTTGGACGCTTGGAAGCGGCAACAGTATCGTCGCTCGGCCTTCGGGCGGGTTCCGGGCTTAGGACGAATAGTTTTCAAAAGTTTTTCAATGAGCAGCAAGAAATGGGTCCCAACCTCTGAAATTTTGTACCAAGATCCGTTAGGTCACGAGGATAACGAACATATACTTTCCCCCCCCATTTGGGGGCGTGGTGATGAGTTAATGATGAATGAGTGGGTAAACTTAGGCGGAAATCGCGTCTGCGGCCCCCCCGAGCAAAATTCAAACGTTTCCGAATCGTACAAATTTTTCAGGTTAGGCCGAGTCTTACGGCTTGATTACTTCGGAGGTTATTTTTTTCTCTCGGTCGGTGGGGGGTGGCCTCCACGAAAAAATTATCAACGTCCAAACGACCGTTTTAGGGTTCCTCGAGGTATATTATTCTCTGAAGGGAAAGAAGAGGCTGATTCATGTTCTTGTGGGTCACAACATGCTTCAGTACACGGTTTCGGCTCGTGTGCGACCAACAAGACACCGAGCGCCCTGTTTATGGGTCGCCTGCAAAGGGCATGTGTATCATCGCATGCTATCGGCTGCAGGTTGTGGATGTCGTCGGCCAAAGGCCTCTCTCTGATGGCATGCGTTATCACACCAGACTCGGAGCAAGCAGCAGAAAAAGCAGGCAACGTCCAAAAAAGGCACAACCGAACCACACCTCGGTTCACGTTTGCAGGCCGCGTGCAATCAAAACTGGACAATACGCTCTGTTTCTAGGACGCGAGCAGAGGGTATATGTATGACCACAAACCACTGGCTGCTGTTTGTGGATGTCGTCGGTCAAAGGGCTCTCTCTGGCATGTATTTTTGACTGGTCGCGGGTGACACACGGAGCAAACACGCGGCGGGACAAGAAAAAATACCAAAAAGTCCAACACGCAACACAATTTTGGTTCACGTTTGCAGGCCGTGTGCAATCAAAACTGGACAATACGCTCTGTTTCTGGTACGCGAGCAAAGGGTATGAGTATGACCACACGCCATTGACTGCAGTTTGTGGATGTGGACGGCTTCGAAGCCTCTCTCTGGCGTGCGTTTTCAACTGGTTACACATGCAGCAGGCGCAAAAACGGCTCTTTTCGGCCGAAAGGTAAGAACGACACCATAGCAATGTGGCAAGGTTGACGTTTTCGGCTCGTGTGCGCCCAACACGACGCAGAACGCCCTGAATTTGAGATACCTGCAGAGGGTTTGTGCATGAACTCATGATTCTGGCCTCTGTTTGGCCAGCACGCGGTGTAGTTCCTCGTTCTGGCACAATCGGGGTGTGACCAGGGGGTACCCCCCCCCATTTCTAACAGCGATATTTCAACAGGATCGCTGTAAGGAAATAGGCCACTTTTCTAACAGGCCGGCCGGAATCGACGTTGGAATTTGCGCTGTTGGATTTTGGGCTGTTGGAATTTGCGATTTTTGGGCTCAGGAAAGGATTTACCCCCCAAATCCAATCCGGAAAAAATCAATCCGTAAGACTCAACCTTGAAGTTATGTTGTGGTGTAGATCAAGAATCCGTCGTCAGAATTTTGATCAGGATCGATGCGGTCGTGATCCAGCTACGCACTGACGCACTCTCGGGAGACGGAGAGAAGCATCCGCGTGGTGCCGGTTGCATTTTTGAACTTTGATTTTTTTCTGTTCTGCTTCACTTGAGAATAGAGTATTGTATTGAAGGCCGGGAGACAATTTTCAACAGACAGCTTGTGTCCCACGCAGACGACGATTTCGAATGATTGGATCAACGAGCTGCCGAGCAAATCTACTCCGGCAGAGAGAAAGCAACAGAGAGCACGGCCTGACCGGTCTGGCTTCGATCGGTGGCCTAGGGGGCGAGAAATCAGTTGCGGTGTCCTCCTCTCTCTGACAAAAAGCGGCTTTTTTAGCTGTCTCGTGGCGCTTTGGCCTGTTTCGGCGTCTCCATGCTTGGTGTGATGCCATATATATATTTTACTCACGCGTGCCGAGCGACCATCAACAGCCAGCGTGCAGAATAGCAAGCCCTCCGGCGCAGGGTTGCTGAGAGCCCTTGATGGGAGCGATACGTCAAGAGCTCAGGTCGCACTCGCCGATTATGTCGTCTGGGTTCACCCAGCGGTGAACTTTTTGGGATGAGTAATCTGGTGGGCACCATCTTGATTTCTTTCAAACTTTTCGGGTGGAGGCCACCCAAAGTCTAGTGGCATCCTCGTAATCCGCCAGTCGCAGAGGTCGTGAGTTCGAATCCCCATGTGGTGAAAAATTTACGAAATTTGCGGGTGAAAGCGAAATATAGCTAAAAAGCCCTCGTGAGTACCAAACTTCGACGTTAGCACCGTTGACGAGGGAAAGGGACGGCTGGACCCTTCTCGCGATGAAGCCAAAATTCAGCACGCACCGCAGGAGGAAGGTGGGGCATGAAAAGAAATAAAAAGAAGAAAAAAGCCCTGGTGTTTACCCCCTCCTGTGTGACCCTGGATGGTTGAAGTTGTACGAAAAATACACTGAAAAGTGTAGTACTATACATACGCTGAAAAGTGTAGTACAAGTCTCACCACGAAAAATGGGGGGACTGTCGCCATAATAAATAGGACGAAAACACACACACACACCCAAAAAGCTGAACCCAGACTTTGTCGACCCAAAAAACTGAAGAACCTGGCTGTTGAAGAAGCCGGAGTTTTGCCCATCCTGAAAAATTAAGCTTTTTGGGAAACGAACCCAGTTGTAGAAGAATCAGCCGCAGCGGCGCGATCAGCGCGTGAAAAAAAAGAGAGTAACCAGAAACGAGTATACCCGAATAGATTATCACCATTTCAGGGTACACTTGGAAATCAAGACGACACCAATCTCCGACAGCATCCGCCGTAGATCGCGGCGAAACCATAAACCGCTGTCTGTGTCCTGTGTGTCCTGTGTCCTGTGCCTCGGAAGCATGATGCACGAGGCAGGTCGTGCCCGTTTTTCTCGCTCTGTGCCTCTCTCTCTGTGCTTTTACTGATCAGTACCACACCGAAGTACTTGCGCGTCAAGCGAGTCCGACCCTTTAGAGGCGGTGCCCATGAACGATGAACGAGCGAGCGTTGTTGGTGGTTTGGTTGTGGTTATGTATGTGTGGTACACGGTATGTGCGGCACACGTTTTTTTCTGCGGGTTTTATGCTAGAGCGTCGGGCGCCGGGATTGTATGACCATTTCTGGGTACAAAATTGACCCCTTCCGGGTACACCAGTAACCAATATCGGTCACGCCAGAGGGTCCTAATTCCAGCGGAAGTTGTACCTGATGGAGGTTTCTTCAGAAATAGGTACAATGGTTTTTCGGCCAATCAGCTGACCGCCTGGGGGTGCAAGCGTGTTGATTTCTAACTGTACCCTACAGCAGTGGTGATAAAGTACCCGAGTATACCCGTTTCTGGTTATTGGTAAAAAACAAACGGCCACGTCTCCATTTTAATGCCGTCACGGAGCCTCTGGCCAGACTTTGCAACGCTGTCGCCGTCCAGAAAATACATGAAAATCACTGGCGTCCGGGGCCAGTGTAGTTTGGGCATCACAGATTGCGATGCCGTGATCTAGAATTTTGGATCGGCATTACAGCTAGAGCTGTTCCAAAACAACCTCAAACCTCATACAACAAAGAGTAAAGGGGGCACCGTGCTATCGTGTCAGTTGTCAGGAATAAAAAAATAAGGCCCTTCCACGGGCTGCAACGCAGGTGCTAAATCCAACAACGGTTTTTCATATTGCCTGCAAACGTAAATCGAGGTTTGGTTCGGTGTTGCCTTTTTTGGACGTTGCTTTTTTTTTCTGCCGCTTGCTCCGAGTCTGGTGTGATCAGCGTACAACGCATGCCATCAGATAAAGGCCTTTGGCCGACGATATCCACAACCTACAGCCACTGGCGTGCGATGATACACATGCCCTCTGCAGGCGACCCATAAACAGGGCGCTCGGTGTCTTGTTGGTCGCGCACGAGCCAAAACCGTGTACTGAAGCATGTTGTGACTCACGAGAACATGAATCAGCCTCTTTTTTCCCTTCAGAGAATAATATACCTCGAGGAACCGTAAGACGGTCGTTTGGACGTTGATAATTTTTGCCGTGCAGGCCATTCCCCCCCGACCGAGAGCAAAAAAATAATCTCCGAAATGATCACGCCGTAAGACTCTGCCTTCGCGTTCAAAAACCCATTTGAGTTTTTCCTCGCCGCGGGAGAGACAGTTCGTCTTTACCGCGGAACCCGCCATAAAATAAAAATATATACATTTAGTCTGTATATATATATGTATTATATAATAATTTCTCCCATAGTTGGATTCTGTCGTCTGCCCCTCTGGCCACTATCCTCCACTTCTACTAGCTAGACTACCCAACCGGGGTCACATAGGAGGGGGGGGTGGACCCCCTCCTGCGGTTCCTGCCTGAGATATTTTTATCGCGAGAAGGGTACAATACAGCAAATCCCTTTCGTCGTGACTTATGCAGTCGATCAAGTTTACTAACAACGCGCTTTGCAGCGCGCTGCTTCCAACGGAGACCAAGATTTAATTAGTGAGAACAAACTCGCTCTGTCGGGACTCGAACCCATGACCTGGACCTTAGCAGGCTGCGAGGTTACCCACAAGACCACCGGGGCCACCGGTGCGTGCCGGCGGGGTTACACTGAGGGTGTCGTGTGTCCGTCTCGCCGAATAACCTCGTGACCTTGCTGGCTGATGTAACGCACACGATCGGCACGGGTGGGAGGGGTCTATAACCAACGCTCAGACCCATCACCTGCACACCACGTCGGACCCTGATCCTCGTACGCCTGCTACTGCAGGTGCTGTGCCCTCGCGTTGCCACTGCTGCTAGTCGCGGTCGAACCTTGGTCTGCCACCGCGGCGGCGCGATACAAGCGGCATCGTCCTCTCGTACTCGCCGAACCAACAGCAGCGCAAAGAGGAGGAGCCGGCAAACCATCCCCGAGAGGTTTCTTGCACGCCCTGCGGCTCCCGAAGGGGGAATCGAGAGAGAGAGAGAAGGAGGAGGACTGCGTCTAGCTGGGTAGTGATGGCTGGCACGCTCGCTTGTTGAGTTGAGGGGAGGGGCAAAATGAGCCACTGCTGTGCATCCGATTTCCAAGTAATTTTGGGGCATTGGGGCATTTTGGGGCATGCCCCAATTTTGGGGCAAGAAAAAAAACACTTTGATCTCGCCGTACCAAATCGCTCAATTTCAGCGAAATCTCGCCGTAATAATATCAGAGGGACAGGAAATAACCAACGGCAGCTGTGTGATGTATTCCAGTATGTGTAGCTGTGGGTGTTAGGTATGTGTGCGTGCGATTGATGATGCTGCTGTTGTGTGGATCATATTCGAGTGCCCGAGCTGGTAAAGTCTGCAGCCGCAGCAGTTAGTTGGTGATTTGAGAATGCACGAGAGCGGAGTTGTGTTGTGAGGTATAAAGTCTAGATGTAGACAATACATCATGCCTGCTTGCCGCACACGGTCACGTCCCGCACCTCTCTGACTGGAGTTTGTGTACACTTAAGTGGGCAAAGTGAGCGTGTCTGCGTAATGCCAACCACGAGAGCCGAGCGGAGGAAAACAAATGTGCTTGTCCTTTGTGCGTTTGCAGTGTTCCATATCATCATAGAACAGGCATATTGTATGCACTCCGAGTATCATTTTTTTTCCATGTTTCTTCAATCCGTGCTCGGCGTGGCGAAAACAAAAGTTCTACTCCTTCCGTACCGGTCGTGCGGGACGAGACGAACGGAATATCTATCCCGTCTCCCACGCAGGAGGCAAACACATACGCCAGACAACAAAACGCATAGAGGAGGCTCTGTTGTGTGTGATGGGAGTGTAGAGCAGCTCGGCCATGACGGGCCGTAGGGGTAGGTAAAGTCGTACAGAAGTGTTGCAAAACGTGTTGTAAACGTGTTGCATACGTGTTGTATTAATCGGGGGCGTGCTTGAGCTCGTCATTCCATCACGGCATCAAGTCACGCATAACGCTCAAACACCCAAAACGAATCCTCATG